GTAAGGGACGTTCGGCAGGGAAATGGTAATGACTGCCAGGTGAAGAGGAAGTTGCTAATAAGGTATTATTACGTGCTCCTAATTCCCACTGGGTTACTACTCTGAAATACCTTAGCAAAATAAGGCATCTAATGTATATGAAAAAAAAAAACGTAATATTTATTACCTCAAATTGTCCAGTTCCATAATGAATCATGACGTTCAGCTCTACATTTCCATTTAATGACATATTTGTTGCCCGCAAGAAACGTACATCTTCGAACTCAACCGGAACGTCCATGTAGCTAGGACCGTGGTACATCAAAGAATATGTCTCCCATACATACTGAAGATAACAAGTAGCCGGAATTAAAATTTTACCGTCAATCACGTGTCCGCTCATAAATTCTTCATTATCGCTACTCAAATTTATTTTATATAACCGCTCTCCACTCGACTTAGTTTTCATGTTTTCATATTTTGTTACAAACCAATCTTCACTGTGATCCCAACGCACCAGTGAACTTATACCTGAAGTACCTTTCGACACTGGGAATTCTACCTTTGGATATAACATATCTACAGGGAATGTAACACCGTTGCTAAACAATCTGAAAATCAGTTTACACATGTATTTAGTCATGTAATACTTTTGCACCTTTTTAGATACTTACTTTCCCAATGCGGAGAGGAAGAACAAAGTGTTGTTTTTGTTATTACGTTGGGTAAGGGGAATATGTACTCCTTTCGGCATTGATCGCTTTAGAATAGCTTGCAACAATCCGTGGGGTGCAATTTCAATCGTTATTGCATTATTGGGCAACAGATCAAAAGTATCCTCAAATAGAACACTATTTAAAAGATTATTAGCGTGATACTCCGCTGAGCACAGATTACGCCCTAGTTGATCCCATTCATTTTTTGGGACACTTGTACTGAGCCACTTTTCACTTCTGGATTTCGGATTTGGTATTATTTGCTGCAAATATTTCAAAAATTCAGGTCCCATATGAGCTATGTAGCGGGAATGGTAAGCAATATTTGAACAAGGAACTTCTTTGGCAAAAATACTTTTTGCTTTTAAATCGGCCACAAATTTGGCAACGTCGTTAGCTGGACCAGAAATAGTGCAAGAGTCTGAACTATTACGGCAAGCTACTTCAATTTCATCAGGCAGCATATTAGCAATCTTTTTGAAGCCCATTCCAACTGCCGCCATCGAACCTTTAATTTTCTCCATTTCTAGACTAACTTTCCCTCTGTAGTATGAAGCAAGAATCATTTGTTCAGCTGTGAAACATCCATCAGCATAACCACATCCTAATTCGCCCACGGAATGACCAATAATGTAATCCGGTTCGATGTTCAAAGAGCGCAAAACGTCGACTAAAGCAATTTGAATTGCAGCAATACCGACAAATGAATGCATTATATTGTCGAAAGTACTTAAATCTGCAGATGTGAGTATGCTTATTAGGTCTAGCCCTTTTGATTGTAAAGTATTATGACTTCGCTTTATCGATTGCAAAAACGTGGGAATCTGCATCAGCGAAGCTCCCATCTCTGTCCACTGTGAACCCATACCACTAAATACCCAAACAATAGGACGTTTTATGCCAGTGAAATGTTGGACATCTCTAGCAAGAGTCTTTGCTTGATTAGTTTGACATTTTTCGAACACACCAAATCCACGAAATACCATTCCGGTGACTTCCTCTTTTTGTATGTTATGTAATAATGCAAAAAACTCAGCATCCAAAGTCTTCTTTTCCACAGTATTGAAAATGTGATTGACGGCTTCCTCTGTTCTCCCAGCCCAAGTCAACAATCTTGGAATATCATCGCATGGTATGCCATTATTAAGTTTAGGTTTGTCGAACGCTTTTAAGAGTGCATGTGCATTGGCTCCACCAAAACCAAATGAATTTACTCCTATATAAGGCTTCCCTAGATCCACAACATCTTTTACCACAACTAGACGGCCTTCCGATAAAGCAGCAATTTCAGGTTTTACCTCACGGAAGTTTATGTTTGGAGGAATTTTTCCAGTTTCAAATGCAAAGCACGCTTTAATTAATGAACATATACCAGACGCCGCCTCAGAGTGACCTATATTAGATTTCACTGAACCAACCAGTAAAGGTTCCTGGCGCTGACTACACAACACGCTATCAATTGCTCGGCATTCTTCTGGATCACCGACCACAGTTCCAGTGCTGTGAGCTTCTAAGTATCCTAAGTTACTAGGTTTAACATCAATTTCATTATAAAATTCAGAAATTAGCTGCTCTTGAAGTTTTCCCGATGGATATGTAATTCCTTCAGGTTTGTAACCATCGCAATTCGTTTTTGAATAAACAACACTCGCATAAATACGTTTAGCATCCCGCCTTCGTTGTAAGAATAAACAATTTATAGCCTCGGACCGAGTATAACCTGATGCATTTATATCAAAAGGTCTGCAATATCCGTCGGTAGCTAACACGCCAAGTCTGTAAATATTTTCAATTGATTACATATGTATATTCACAATCATACATAATAGGTTC